GAGAGTTAAACTGAATTAATAGTGATAGAAAATGTAAGTAGTGTACATTGGTATTTACAAAAGTTGAACAAAAAATTCATACACCTGACTGTAAATTTCAGTAGACATGCATGATAATTGTACTTAGTAAATGAGTATTTCTGAGACAATAACTAACCTCTTCACAAATCTGCCTACAAGATTTGCATGCCACTAACTTTTAGGAAACTTCCCCCTAATTTCACATCTTTTTTTAATGTGAATTGCACTGGTGCGTAATGACATCATCATGTAACAAAAATCTTCTACCAATAGGAGGGTGACACAACCACCTTGCATAGTAACTCTCTCTATGCACTTGCACTCATGGTAACTCATTCTACTTCTTGACATTGCATTGAATAAACATGTTCTCAATTTCGTGTCTGAGTTCAATTTGAAAACATCTGCATCTGTGAATGAAACTTTGGTTTTATTTTTTTTGGCTATTGTTTCAAAAGCTTTAGTTTTCAATAATGAATTTTCAAATGATGGTGACTTGTACTTAATCCTGTGTGAGGGATGATATTATGCACACAGACCTTATTTCTAACCTGGCTTCTGGAGATTTGTTGACTGTATGGGACATTGTGGCCATTCTTTAAGCATGTTGTGGATTACCACATGCTTACTGGGCCTCCTACTCCCATCCCATCAGCCGAAGTTTTTCTGTTCTTAGTTGGGATTGATCTGTTGAACTATGAATTTAACCTGATTTGCTTTGAGTAGTGCCTTACCATTCATGGAATGACCTTAATCTACCAATATCTTTCTGGATTTATCTCTCAGGTATGTTCCTTTTCTTGTCTTTTGCCTATGTCCTTTAATATTTTTCTGATTGTTTTCTGATCCCAATTCTTGGAGTTTCCCTTATCTTTCCTCCTCATTTGTTATTAGGGTTTATACTGTTTCTTTTCTCTAATAGCTCCTCTCTCACACTCAAATGCTTCATCACCCTCATTTTTGTGATTCATTTTGTCCTTTTGGTATCTATTTGACATGCTTGGGTGTCTGGTGCATTGCCTTCTATTTCAATCTTTGGTTCTCCATTTTTGCACTTTCATCTTTTTCTCACTACCCTCCTATATTACTTTTCCTACCTACATCTTTTATCTGAGGCACTTCACTATGCTCTATCCCTCATTACTTTGTTCCTCTGATGTTGGGACTTATTGGGTTGAGTTACTTTCTTCTTTACTGTGCTTATTCCTTCCCTTTCTTCTCCCAGATGTTTGCAATAGTGTTCATTTCTCTCTGAAGACCTTGACTGACATTATATGACTTCAGCCCTTGTTATCTTCCCAAGTTTTTCTTCTTTTTCAACCTTGCCATTACTCCTGTTCCTCATCTGTACCTGTCTTTTCCTAGCATTCCTATTTCAGGTTTTCCCTTCTTTATAGTCCTCTCTCTACCAGACATCTACTTCATTGCTGTTCTTGTCAGTGACTATTATGTCCCATTTCTTCCTTTTCTTCTGCTGTTGGTCTCATTTTATGCTGACAGCCCTTTCTCATTTCTCCACTTTGATTCCCCCCTTTCTCTACCCACTATACTCTATCTTTTGCTTCAACCTCACATGTCCTCTTTTCATTGAGGGATATATTCCCTCCTTCTTCATATGTGGGATTTGTCAAGTCTGCCACCCATCGATCTGGACTCTCCATTCATGTGGCATTCGTCTTGTCACATTCCTGTTGCCCTTCCACTGTGTCTATCTAATGATAAAAGTGGTGGGTTTTTCATCATTGGCCATATGCCACTCCTATTCCTGGTCGTTAAACCATGAACAACCTTTTTGCTCTTTTACCTGGCTGTTCATTCATTCATTGTCATTCTCCACCTTTGCTGGTTATGGACAGCTTTGTCCATGGTATTTTGCCTTTACTGGTACCATGAGGTGTTTCTTCCCTTGTCCTCTCCTCTTTGTTCCACTCCTTCAGTCTTCTCTGACCTCCTTTCCTGGCTCCCATGCCTGACTGGGACCCTCGTGTGGCTTAGCATGCTCTCACATGTGCCCTGTTTGAGCTATTGGCTTCTTGCTTTTTGTACTGTCTTTATCTCCAGACTTATTTCTTTCATCATCTTGACTGAAATTGCCATCATTCAGATGTCTATGCTATGGATACTTCTCACACCCTCTTCCACCACATTTATATATTCCTCTCCATGGACTGATCTTTCCTTCGTAAGACTTTTACTGCTTGGGAGAGTAACCATTCTTTCTTCCTGTCTCTCTTCCTTCCGTCTCTCACCTGTTTTTCTCATTCAGACCCAGATTGACTCCTGTGTCATGTTCAGGCAGTTCGGTGTTGCTTATCACAGACCCTTCACTTTTGGGATCTCTGCCATCACCTGTCCATACCCTGAGGCCCCGCCTTCTCCCAGAGACCTCTCTCCTTCCACCCTCACTGGATGGGTCCTTTGACTCCTTCAGTTAGTATATTCATCACTGGATGTAGATGTGCACAGGGTATTTCACATTTCATCAAATTTAATTCATCACCTTTTTCATTCTCTTGCTTTTCATATTTGCTGGTTTTAGGATGAGATTCTCCAGGTGAGCATGTGGATGATTCTCGACACATTCATTTCCTATTGTCTACATTACCTGGCTGTTTCATCTCCTGCTTGATTTCAGCTTCCACAGGTCACCATTCTTCAATCACCCCACCATCTTTTACAAGAATACATACAATTTCTTTTTAAAGCCCCTTTTTAACTTCATAGAATCCTGCCAGATGGTTAGTGTTACTTCCTAGGGTATACTTACCCAAAATTTGCATTGAGCCAGGATAACAGAAAGTGCTCTTACTATCTGCTTTGGCTCTACCAGTGCCCACTAGAAGATGGGGTGTTCCACAAGACCACTTGAAATATCCTCATGATATACATATTAACTCAATTGTCTGATCCAGGCCATACCTATTCTATGGACTATTATGGAAAAAGCCAGCACTAGGAAAGCTTTTTGCTCACTTGTTTGGCTCAGATTTGCCAGCTTTAAAAAAATGGAGGTTTCTCTGTTGCCCATTGCACTGTCTCCAGTTAAAGATCTTTCCAGCTGGAGGTCTGATGGAGATCTGAGCACTTTTCTGGGTCTCCCCAATGTGAATTCTCTTCTATTTTTTTATTCAGGTAGAGCATGAGAGACCCCCTTACCATTCACCAGTTCCTAGTTGTTGGGGTGGTGGATCATGGAGAATCTTCATCGGTTGGGCTTAGCACAGTATGGTGAGAAGTGGGGTATGGTGATACTGTCAGTGTAGTGTGGGTGACCCCTCAAAAATATTTAAATCATATCTGTTGTGCTCTCCTTCTTCAGTAGAGTTGAGATGAGCACACAATCTATAGACAACATGATACATAACTAATGTGCCCTCTTCCTGCAGCCAGAGTCTGTTCAGTAGAGTTGAGATGAGCACACACTATGTCAAAATATAATACATAACTAAAGTACCCTCTTCCTACAGCCAGTGTCTATTTGATGGAGTTGAGGTGAGCACGCAAAGTATGGTCTGAATGCATCCCAATCACACTACATGTATTGGCTGTCTAACTGATTGTGTGAAAGTACTCAGATAGTCATGTTTTCAAGGCTAGTGGCATGCAAATCTCACAGGCAGATGGTTGAGGAAGATAGCTATTATGTATGAGGAGGTGGGTATCTATCAGAAATACATTTACAGGTAAGGAAAATCTAAATGTCTGAACTTTGAAAATGTTTCTGTCATGAAACCTCATTCCTAGGTGTCTGAGCATGTGTGGAAACAGAAGTTATTCATCCCCAACATGGTTTAGTTCCAGGCATTTTATCTTCTAGGAAGGATTTTATAGTCTTCATACACACAAAAAAGATGATAGCTGTTAGAACACACCACACCTTGTAAAATTTTTCTAAGAGCAATATTAGTAGGAAGGCTGTTATATATATAATAATATATAATGAAATAAATAGCTTCAAAACTATTAACTACATTAATCGTTAATAGGCAATTAAAGTCAGCACTATAAAACAATAATAAACTTAATATAAAATAAGCATTATCTTTAAGACTTTAACATATATATATATATATGTTTGTAATCATCACACATTAAGCCACTATGTGAAACACAACAGGAATACAATATTTATTAGAGTTGTACAGTTATTCAATTCATTCAAGGCCAGTGATCATTATTATAGAATCCTTTGTCATTCAGTTCTTTCTGAAAAAGCATGATTATGAATGCTGTGGTGTAATTGAAAACTATGGGAAGAAGTGATAAGGTTGCATATGTCAATATTCACACTCTTTTAATCAAATGAAAAATTCTCTGTATGGAAAACATCCAAGAATGTACATCCCGAGCACTTTACTATAACTATAATTTATGCAGTAAATTACACTGTGCGATGAGCCATATTATGCTGGTAAAGTTTATACACTTTGGTTCAGTCACTGAAGACAGGATAAAATTTATTATGCAAGCACATATTGTGAGACCACATTTCTCTGTTTTACAGCACTCTTACTGATTATGGTAGTTTCAAAGATGAAGTATTGTACCTATATTTGTTTGACTAGTTTACGTGAACTGTGAAAACTGTTCGTAACCTATCTTATCCTACCTAACTCACCAAGTAT